CTCGGAGTCGGGAGGTAGACACGGAAGCGGAGGCGGGTAGGATGACTGCCACCAATAGATCGATGACGTCTGCCCCGAGCACAGAACTGAGATGACGTTTGCCCCGAGCGCAGAATGCAGATGACGTTGCCCCAGATACCACTCCGCCCACCCCACCCCACCCATCTAGCCACGCAATGACGCATTCCTCCTCCCTCATTCCTCGTCAACATCCGGATCCATTCCGCGCTCCACACCTTCCTTCGAGTCTCACGAGTCCGATCGTCCTTCGAGCTCGAAGGATGGAAGGACACATGACTCAAGGATGGAAGGACGCTAGACGGCCAAAAAAATGCGAAGGGTCGTGGAAGAGAGGAATAGAACGGGCGCGCGATCGACCGACTGCCCGAGTTCAGCAGATTACTGAGCTCAGTAGACTACAAGGGGGCGGAAAAACGTGGGGTTTCCAAGGGTCGATGACGATGACCTGGGCGAGGTGAGGCGAGGCGAAGGGCGGAATACAGTAGTACTATACTGTTACAACGCTGTGTGACGCGCCGACGCTGCGGAGTGTGGAGAGCCTGCGGTGGGATGGGGTATCCTGATGCTGTATAGGTATGCATCGAGTGCACGGTCTCGGGAGTGAAACGCAGGGCGCGGAACGGGCGATGACGATGACGTTGCAACGTTACGTTGCCCGGCGGGGTGCGAGACACGGGTGCTTGAGCGATTGAGCCACTGAGGCGGAGGCGGAGTGCACTGTACAGCGACTGCGGTGATTGAGGACCGAGGAGTGCGGAGAGGCGCGGAGGGACGAGGTGGGGCTCGGAAGGACGCGGAAGGAGAACGCGAGCTCGAGCTCGGAGTAGATGAGTGATGATCGGAGCGGAGGCCTGAGGCTTGAGATCGGTGGCAGAGTCGGGGTGGCAGAGTGAGAGTCGTTCTTCTCGATGATGGGGCTCGGAGACCGAGGAGCGCTGTCGCTGGACTTGCTGGCAGTGGAGGGGGGACTGCAGTAGAGCAGGAGCAGCGACAGCGACAACACCATCAGTCGTGGAAAGGTCCATCGTGTCCCGCACACCGTGTACCGAACAGATCCGCGGCCTTTCCAACCCCTACCCCTGCCCCTTCCCTCCCTCCCTTCCCTGTTACCCTATCCTAACCTCACTCAAAAAGCCCCCACACCAACCCCATGTCCATGTCCCACTCCATACATCGCGAAAGGCGACCCCTGGGCCATCCTCCCATTCTGCGCGAACACGCCCTGCTGCTGCGCAATGCTCGGCTGGAAGGCCTGCTGCGAGGCCTGCAGCTGGGCGAGGTAGAAGGGGTCGGTGGATGTGAATAGCGAGGGGGAGGGGTCGGAGGAGGAAGGGTAAGAGGTGGAGGAAGGGTATTGGGAATAGGATGATTGAGAGGGGGAGATTGGGGAGGAGTAGGTTGCGTATGACGGAGATTGGGGCGGTTGTTGGTATTGCGAGTTTGAATGCGAGAAATGATGCGCCGAACTCGAAGAAGCGGCCGAAGAAAACGACGTCGACGCCAACGCAGAGCCCATGACAGGCGACGACGACGGCGGTGGGATCAGGAGCAGCTCCTCCACCATCCGCTCGTCTTCCTCCATGTCATCGAACACACTCCCGCTCCCACTCGTGTACCCCGTCGACGTCGAGGACTCCGACCTCCTATGCCCCGACGTCGAGTAACCCATATTCACACTCCCGCGCCGCCGTTCACCCATAGCATGACTGAAACTGCTTGACGGCGTGCGCGCGAGCGGGGTGTTGCACGTCTGGGGCGCGCGCCCTCTTGTGTGACGACTGAACGCGTGTGCGCTGGAGGAGTGTGAGGAGGAGGATGGTGGTGTGTTGCAGAAGAGGGACTCGGCGAGCTGGGCCTGGAGGGAGAAGGGTGGGGGTTAGCGATTGTCGGGTAGACGGAGAGGAAGATGAGAGGAAGGAGAGTGGGGGGAGCGGGGCGACGGGAGGTAAAGGAGAGTGGCGGGGACGGGACGAGGGTGGGACGGGGCGATAAGGAAGAGACAGAGACAAAGGGCGCAGCGCGGACGGGGGCGGGCGATAACACGGAGGCAGGACAAAGGCGGGACGAAGGAGAGAGACATACCTGGAGTGCAGCGATGTCCATTGCCTCCTGGCCGATATGGCTCGAGGAGAGCGAGGAGACGAGGTCGTCGACGGAGAAGCTCATCCTCCCTTAGTGTGTGGTGTTTCTTGAGTGTTGTTCTCGTCGAGCGACGAGCGGAGGGTGGCGTTATGGTTATGGAGGGGAAGGGAGAACTGAACAAGCACGGGGCATGCATTTAGGTATATAACACCCTTGCCTTCTTGCCTTGTACGCCCACGGACCCGTTCACGTCCATGCCTCCTGCCTTGCCGGGCGTGGCAAGAAACACGCATCTATCTCGTCGCCCGTTCGGGGAGGGGGTTATCACGATCTAGATCCCTCCCCAATTGGCTTTGGCTTGAATTGGGAGGGAGAAGGATCGAGATAGGCCCCGCCGACATCATTCTTCCGGACCGGGAGTTGGACCGGGGACGCCAGACTTCAAAGAAGTTAGAGGTGAGGTGAATGTGATAGAGAACGGTCCTCCCACGTCGTCTCTTCAAGTCCAACGTCTACGTCTGGTTCCTTCGCTGCCCTTCAATGCCTCGCATGCACGATGACCCTCGCGCGCGTCCACCCTCCCCGGCTCACCCAGCAACGTCACCGTCAACTATCGGACGAATTTCCCACATCCCCCTCAGGCCTGCGATGTTGCGATACCTAAAATAAAATACGCGCTCGCCTTCGGTTCTACCCCAGCCCAGTCGCGACTCTCCCAGACCTTTCAGGCTCTTCGACTCTCGTACGCGATACCTACGCCCTTCCACCGAATGTTCTCCACTTCTTCCTCGCACCGGCACGACAGCGAACCCACAAAGAACTGTAACGGAGTCCACTGTGCAGGAGATAACGCATAACGCAATGCCGATGGCGCGCGACACGAATACGCGACGGTCCTTGCTTTCATCCTGTCGCACATTCCGAGTCTTCCTCACGTCCACAAAGAACACAGATCGAATAACCGGAAGACACGATAGGGAGACAAAGTAACCCTACATACCGATATCGCTACCGTTATCACGCTCCTCCTCCTCCCCGCCCTTCCCCGCCCCTGTCCATTCCTTTCACTGACATCATCCACGGCGAAGGAGGCGCGACATCCTTGAACATACGGCCCGAGACGTCGAATGCGGTCCAAGCACGCGCGGACGATCGAACGTCGCGTATCATCGCTCGATCGCATTGCAATAACATAACATCCCCATACGTCCTCCTCCGTCGCTCGTCTCACCTCACACAACGTGCTTGGGCCCTGTCCATATCCTCACTCAGCGCGTTTCTCGCCTTCCGATATCACCCGAACCGCTCTTCACCACCGGCGAACGGTTATCGTTCCACTCCAAGCTTTAAATTCGGCGGGGGGGCCGCGGCGTTATCTTTCTACAGGTCGTTTCTGGGCTCCAACCTCCAAGGAGACCGCGCAACAAAGATGATGATAATTCATGAGACGCGATGGCGAAATATCTCCCAACATTCCCCGACGCGCTGAGGTGACGCACGTTCAAACGTTCACGCGCGCATTCCGCCTCTCATCTGCAAAAACCGTTCGACGCACATGGCGCTTCCCCTTCCTTCTGTCCCTCCACCCCTCTTCCACACTCCACCCCTCTTCCACACACGCGTCGCGCGTCCAGCGCGGCAGAGCGTGTTTTCCAAGTTTTCCAGTTTACCTCCGCTTTCGCGCCTGCGTTTCTTTCCCCCGCTCCGGCACGTCATGACATCCTCGCGCCTAGCTCTTCTGGCGACTCGATTAGCCGACGCGTCAGACGCGTATCTGCGTGTTTATGGTATCTCTTGGTATCTGCATGGTTATGGTATCAGGTATGTGGCGCGACCGGTTATCGGGTCGTGTCCCGGAGCGTGATAGGAAGACGAGCAATTGGAAGAGGAGCAATCGGAAGACGGCCGGAGGAAAAGGACGACAGGAAGGGAAGAACTGAGAAGGGAAAGAGGCGCGTGTTTATCGCGTCGCCGGTCGTACCTTCGAATTCTTGTTATCTTGCACGACAGTTACGACACCCTGCACGCTGTGCAGTGTGCGTTACGCGTTACGCGCTTCTCCAGGTTTTGGCGGGACGTCTATCGGTATCTCCTCCTCTGGCATTGACAGTGGGGAACTGGCATCGCGCCGCTGGGGTACATCTACGCGACGTACGTCTTCTCGGACGAACCATGAATCCTCCATGCTGAATTAATTGAACATGACCTGAACTTCTTCGTGCGCCCACATGGCAGATCTGCCCGTTTACTTCCCTTCAAATGGCCACCTATGGAACTCCTTCGTTTCTCCCCCCTTCTCCTGCGTAGCGCCTCATTCGTAAACATAAAACTCAAATAGGCGAGAACACGATATGCCCTTCTCAGATAAGTACTCGATGCACGCGCAGACTGACCTTCTGCGCCCACAGATCTACGCGTTTCGGGTATTCCTTGCAATTGGACGGCGACCTATCCACCGCGGCCCGTACGACTGCTCTATGTATTACCTCCATGGAATCGTCTTCTGAGCATCATGCAAGGACCCGTCTTCCAGCTTCCCGGCCCACTCTCTCCTTCATGCAAGGTTCTACACCCACCATAGTCTGCCGTCAACTCGAATGTCGCCTCAAGCTCATGTCAGATAAAAATACCCCTCCGAATCCCAGAGTATGTAGTCCGCCGCTTCATCCATACCTCCGGATCGTCCAGAGCACTCCAGCACGTTCCAGCTCATCTTTTATCTGTCTTTTACGCTCAAACGTTCACCTTATCCTTAACTTCGCCTTCGCTTCGCTCTCCTTTCCCCACGGACCGTCGCTGGCAGCGTCAACGTCACCTTCGTCATCTACGTGCCTTGTGTGCGTTGTTCGAACTTTGAACTTCGAAGGGGCCATGTTGCTGGCGACGTCAACGCCGAAGGTTTACTTACGGATATGCAGCATGTCTCTGAATCCCCGGGTCGACGGGGCGACGTATCTGCCGCTAGGCCGGTCTTTTAGCACTTCCCCAGCCTACCGGTATCGTTGTGAGGGCATTGTTTCTGGTTGACTTTAAGCAATCTCCTTTCAAGTCGATGTCGAGAGCCGTCGAGGGGCATCCAGCTCGCGCTCACGATGCATGTAATAGCCTGCTCTTCTTCCTTTGCATCATCGTCGTCGACAACTCCATATGAAAGAGCTTCTCCCCCGGACCGGACGTTGACAAACGTCCTCACTTTTGAAGGTTGAACACACGAAGCTTTTGCGACTCCGGCGCCGAGAGCCATCGAGGAGCGTCCAGCTCGCGCTCGCGACACACAAAGCTACTTACTCTGCACCGTCGTCGTCGACTCCATTTGCAACAGCTTCCTGCAATACTCAATTCATCTCGGTAGCTCGGAGGCTCTTCTCAGCACGAATTCGAACCTTGCGCTACTCCGGCACCTTCGCTACGGACCGCCGCAACGTCGAGAGTGAGCCCAGTACGGTGTATAGTACCTTCAGGCTCCCGGCTGTTGTCTCCGGAAGGGAGAGCTTCTCCCAACCTCCGGCAGTCGAGCTTCATTTCGCCCCGCTTGACAGCAGGCCCTCAGAGAGCCTGAAGCTGCTGGCATTGTTTCCCCGCATAGCCGGTGAGGGAAGCGAAGTGTAGATGAGGCTAGTAATGATGAGGCGGACGTTGCCCCACATCGTACCCCGTCCCCGTCCCCGGATCCTCCGTCTCATCTCCCTGGTAAGTATTTAATTTTACGATGCTTCGGGTGTCGAGAGCACTCCAGCAAGCTCCAGTGCCGGTAAGCCTTCCGTCTTCCGTCGACGTCTGGACTGTCGAGCCGTCGTTTTCTCCGTGTCTGCTTGACTGCCAATACGTTACTGCGACTGGCTCGAGCCCCGAGCCCCGAGCACCAAGTGCGCGCTCTCTTCTCTGAATGATCTACTTATGGGCCTCCGGCTGCGGCCCACCTCCCCTCTCAGAGGTTGACACACCAGTGGCATACCACCTCTCTCCCGAATTCCTGGTTCAAGAACCCGGCAGAACACAAGCTGGCCAGGGCACTCACGATCCCTGCAGCTCTTTACCGGTACCACTGACATTGGAAGTTGAAGAAACCGACAGCCTCCGGCTAGGTTCGCCGTTCCTTCAAGCCGCAAGAGACGACCGTCCACGGCCACGCCTTCAGGCTGCAGCTTCCCCGCGTCAGATCGACTATATTGTCCGAACGAAGTGTTGTGTGTCCCATTTCACCGCTCAGGTTATCCACTCCTTCTCGACGGAGATTTGCTCAGTCGACGTCTCTGGTCCTCATCCAGGCCTTGCTACGCTTTCTATTACTAACCCCATATTTCAACTGAGTATCGAGGCGCGTATCATCCTCGGGCTCTGCTTTACACCATTCTATACTTATTAATCGATTACCACTCTGGATAGTGGACAGTACTACGTGCCGGAGAGGTTATCTATCGTTAACGCTACCAGACCTCACACTCTCCCTCCAACCCACCCGATCCGTTTGCCGGTTCCCCGGTCGAGCCCCGCCTCCAGGCGCCCAGGCACTCATTTCGGTGCATCTATGCATCTATGTATACTCATACCGCAAGGACATAGAACGCTTCTTTCTCCGTCTCCGTCTCCGAGGTTCTCAACACCCGAGCTTCCGAGGCTTCTGTCGCTGTGTGCTCCATGGCATGCTCATTTTGTCAGCTCTTTATCCTCCGCGATTGCGAGCATATTTCGTCAACTCTCAATCTCAACCGTCAATAGCAAACTGCGGTAAACCTCCGCTCTTTCACGGGAACTCGCCAATCTCCCTCCGAAGCCTTCAACGTGGACCTCTTCTGAATCCCGACCGCCCTGGCCCCTGCATCCGGCGGTTCGTAGTCTTTCTGACGGACGATCTTATCGGTGCATGTATGTGCACATGTCGCGATGTCAGTTTGCATACGCGATGTCTCAAACCTCCCACAAGCACCCACAGTACAGTGAGCTTAGACGCTAAATCGCCTATGTACTTACCTGGTTCTGGACATTCCATTCGACGTCAGATATCCAGATTTTAATCCCCATCTGGACGCTCGCTACTGTCTGTAGATCTCATCTCCTTTCGCGCTCTCGCTTCGCTTCGACTTCCGGCGGCCTGCTCGCCTCTTGTTGGCAGGAAGGTTCGCGAGTTCTCTCCGTCAGACTCCACTCCGCGAGGCTCTTCTGTGGAACGCACGATGCACTTGCTCTCTCATGGACAGGATAAAAGAGAATGCGCTCCGCGCGTAGATCTGGCTAGACGCCCTCTCGATCCTCCTCGCCTCTAATCTCATATGCTCCGTCCTCTTCCGATTCAAAATACCAGGCTCCTCGTTGGTGGAGATTTCCCTGCTGTCTCAACTCGCACTCCCTTTATTCCCTTTCATCTATCCGAACAAGATGCGGGTCTTCGTTCCGAAATATGACACCCTCAAGGCTCCCAGTCTTTGGTATCGTCTTGCACGTTTCGTGCTCATGATCATCGCGAGTAATCCACAAGAATATCCCCCAGCTTAAACTTGAGCCTTAATATCAGAAATAATGATGATCTTTACGCCGATGTCCATGTTCGTCATCTCCCCACCATCATCGTGATCCCCGCCGGAGGCAGTCTCTTGGAACACCTTCGGAACGATGATACGACGCCGAGAAGTTCGAATGTCGATAATCAATCAAGCGCCCGTACAATTTCCAGCCTCCCCACATCCCCGTCCTCCGATCAAGGTTCAGCCCAAGTATAATCCAGCCCATCCCCATCTGGGGATACAGATGATGCGAAGCGCCCATTTCAAGCGCCTGCGCTCCGGTGAGTCCGCCAGGGTCCCTCTAGAAGACTCGGGCGGAGGCAGGAGTTCTCATCGTGGTGCGCTGCGCCGACGATGAACGCGGAGTTCGGATACGATCATCATGGGATGGAACACGACTTGGGTGGGTAGGGCGCGGCGAGATACTCGGGTATAACGTGAACGTCGCGTTTCCAGAAGAACAGAAGAACAATAGAAATAAGCGCCCGATACTGGCGCCGTTGTTGACGGAAGGCTGTCACTTTTACCGATAATGAATTGCCATTGGGTGGACGGGCGGCTGATCTCTCGAGAGAGCGGCAGATTAAGCGCTCGACTAGGGCGGAGGGCTACCTGATTGTGCGTCGTTCCTGGTACTAGTACACTGCCTAGGGGCATATGTTCTGGCGTTTAATTAATCCTATGTACACAGCAGTGCTCTAGATGAATATTGTCAGTGCCAACAGGGAAATAGGGTCTTTCACAATTCGGGTTTAGCTCACGAGTGTTATCACCGCTTCATGCACAGCGCCACCATACATGAATTGGTTGGCAGACGTCGATGCCCTTAATGCAAGGAGGAAAGCCAAAAACCTTGATCTTTACACCAGCCTGCAATGAGCAATTTACCTTCTCTAGCATAGTGCAATATATTCGCTCCAAATACTGCCTGTTTTCACCGACGTCATGCTCGTGCCATTCGTCGTTCGCAAAGTTCCCTATGTTACGTGTAGGGACTATATGAAATAATTCCATGACATTGTTATATGTCAAGATGCGTCGTTTTATTCCTCGCTGATAAATGCTGTTCCCCCTTCGCAATATTTGATTTAGCCGCGAATCTGAGGCTCGAATAATCTATCTTGAAAGGGTCCCCTGGCCAATGGAGCGCTTCCTCTACCATCTACGGTCCGAAATTCAATGCAGGTTCACCAGCCGACCGGGATAGTACCCATGAGCATGAGAGGTACGTCCAAATTTTGAATTGCCCGCTATTTTTCAAGTCGCACGAAACGTCATATATCTGGTTTACCGTTCAAAGTACTGGGTATAAAAAGAATGAAAAGAAATAAAAGAAATCAAAAAAGGAAGGAATTGAGAATTCTTACCATCGTGGTGCACCGTTGCCCGGGATAGCTCATTTCGAGATCATTCTCGCGAATGTCGACTATTGGGTATTTTTTTGAACCGCGCGCCAAAGCGCGCGAGAGGCGGAGGGTAAGGGATTGGGATATTTCAGTTCCCCAACGTCCGATTGAAGATAAGTGGGGTTTGCAACCTATTACTATGCACGAGCTCAAAGACATATCCGTTCACATTTGAGCTTCTTGGTTCCTTGTGTATCTTTTCCGACAGCACATGAGAACCCCTGGCGCCCGAGGATAATGATATCAATGCTCCTCGAGGGTTTTTGCGGCATGGGAACGAGGTGTCCAAAAAGGTCGAGGGTGGCTGTGCTATGGCAGATAACTTGGGGGCTGGCAGATAACTATTTCTCGTTGCCCGAGAACTGTTGCACCTCCTGGTCTCAAACTTTGAATAATGGATGAATACATTTATTTGACAGTGTAAATGAGGTATTAAAGCCATCGTGCAAATACGAAGGCGGGGAGAGTTCTTTTCTCCATGTCTCGGAGTTTGCCGGGCAGATACTGGCAGATAACTACCCAGTACTTCGATCGGTAAACCATATATCTTCCCTCATATCCAATTTAATAGGCGGAGAAAGTGTGCCTGCGAAATGGCGGAGAAGAGAACAGCGCCGGCTGATCGTTCGATCAAGATCATTGAAATGGCACAACCCAGACGCGTCACCAGGGTCTTTCCCCGCATTGCAGGGTCGCTCGAGGTTAGAGATTTAAATTTAGGATGCCACTCAGTCTGGGGCACGTAAGATAAACAACGCCGAACCTAGCCGGATCTCGCACTCTGAATCTTCCATAACATCGCAATTATAGGCCTTGGTGAAACTGTTGATAAATCGAAAGGTATTTAAAGCTGGTTGAACTGCTACCGCTGATCCAGTCAAACCCGAATTCGAGTTCTCGTACTCCGTTCTTTGACAGCTCAGCCACGCCTGATCTGCTTTGTGTTCCGGAACACGACGTGATTGATCAGGCCGGTCGACGTCCGTGGTATGGATTACGGGGAAAGGGCTCGTTCGGAGTTGATTTTTGTCAGATCTTGAGATGATACAATCGGCGGTGACCGATTATCGATTATATGGTAATTGATTCCCATACTAACCAGCCTAGAGGACGAGCAGAGAGGTGCTTTCCTGGCGTCAACTCGTCTCTGCGCGTACCCCAAAGACTTCATCGCAGTCCGCAGGATTGACAACAATCGCAGTCTCAACAGAAGCACTCTCCCGCAGGTGCTGAGGCCACGATGGCGGTGCGGTATATACCCCATTCGAGCTTCCTCTGGTGCTCTTCTTTCGCCCTCATACCCTCGAGCTTCTCCGCCGAAGATTAATAAAGCGGCGATAGCTCTATCAGATGGAATGGGGATTGTATTTCTCCACAATGTCCCGTCTGCCTGCGCTGCCAAGTCTTGTCTGCCAGGAGTTCGAGCTACAGCTGTATATGATTCTGTCGGCAGAACTACATTTTAGCGCACCCATTGTACCACTTCTCTACTGCCGGACGAATATGCTCATAGACCCTTCAGATCAGTCAACGGCATCTGTAATAATTAACTCTCCAAGTGCTCAGAGAACCTCATCTGTTCCCATCTAAAAATACAGTTACACACGTTCAGGCAGAACCTCGAGCCTCGACAAAGCTATTTTCTACTCTTCTCCGAGGTGAGAAAGCCGTCTCCGTGGCCTGTGTCATGTGCAGCGAGTATATAGAGTTGGATATTGGTTCTCCTGTAGACATGGCTGCCAAATTAAATAATCTGCCTACATAGTTATTTAATTCTGGCCAAGAATCCGAGTGAGTGAAGCATTCCGTCCCGATACAGAAGATAAACTTTGTCGCTTAGCGCTCGAAGCCGTCAATCCAGAGCACGTCGTACAAACAGAAGCCAGACAAACCCCCAATCTGACGGTACCTAGTAGCAGTCGAGGATACAATTAAATCTAGTTGCAGCGTCCCGGACAGAGCCCCCAATTCGGATATTGCCTGTCCCAATTTTCATGTGCGCCACAGAGGCACATAATCACGGGATTGTCTCCAGCAGTCTCGGTTAGATACGGGGACACCCGTTGCTCCGAGCTCAGCACGGCACTGAGGACTCTTTACCAACACTCCATCCAACTTCTTTCCGTTAGCACTCTTCACCAATTTATCAGACTACACCTTTTTGCAGTGAAAAGATCCCTGATTTATCCTTGGCCTGGAAAATTGCTACAGCAAGCTCTCGGGGCCTATGCGTCTTGGACAAAGCAGATGTTAATAAGGAGATGCACTTTCGAGACCAACTTCTATCCACAGCTCAGTATAGAATTTATGCGGATCGAGTGAGAGAAGCCTTCAAGCTTTCAACCATCCTGAGTCTTCATACTCTTAAATTTGGCCTGCATAAGGCGGACGGCGGCACGGTGGAACTTCTTTATCAACTGAAATTTGGATTCGTGCGCCACTGCCTCGAAAGCATTACTACACCTATCAACACAACCAGACTCCGTTATTGTCTCCTATCTCGCACTTGCCAATATATCCTTCGACAGATCTTTAATGCTCGAAAGGACCCCTGCCCGGTTAGCCTCTGCATGGGAAGCACTGGACCAGGCTATACCATCCAACACAAAATTTCCTCATCTTCAAAGGTGATATTCAATGCGTACGTAGTTCCGCCTTACAGAACCTAAATTCGACTGCTCAAGCATCCAATTGGACATGACACTTGGAAGTTGGCCGTGGTACGGCGCATGCCGGCTCTTCTCAGAGTGCCATAGATTGATTTCAATGTGAAATAGGGGCAGTATCCCTGGTACGAATCGTACGATTATCACGATTACCGACCAGAGATGGTCCGAAAAGGTATTCCACGGACTCGAGCAACGGTGAGGGCTGGGAGTGCATTGTCAAGCATGAATGTGCCGCTGTCCTCAACTGGCCGGAACATAGCGTTGGAATCACGAATGACAGGGTTCTTGAGAATAGTGACTGGCCCCGAGTCTCCCCTGAAACGAGATACGCAGCTCAGAGGTATCTGGAGGTCGAGAGTTTCCCATTGGCTAGAGAACCGGTTGAAGATATCGATCCGAGCTGGTGGAAGTTCGAGCACCGAGACAGCGGTGCTGCTCGTGAAACGGCAAGGGCGGCGGGGGCGGCGGAAGTGCGAGGCGCTAGCGAAAGGGTAGGGCCTGGCTGGCTGGTCAGCGTCATCGCCATCGTGCTAGTGAGGTCTACGGGAGCTCACCCTTGCCTCCCCCCGGCACGTCTGCCCGTGCATGCTCCTCACCGCTGCGCCCTGGTTTGCGAAAGGGCAAAGTCGGCCTGGTGCTTGGGGGATGCTTGCACCCACACGGCCTGCGTCGTTGTGCTTGCATGCCTTGTCGTGTTGCGATCGGCTGGGGTTGGGGAGACGAGAGGTGGTGGGTGGTTGTGCAGATTGTGCACGATTCCCAGGTGGGACCGTGTCGGCACGCAGTCGAACGCATGGCAGAGGATGGCAGTGAAGGGCCGCGCTAGGGGTCGAAATTGTGGGTGGTGGAAATGGGTGGGGGTCGAGGGACGGTGGGGGCGAGACGCGAAGGCCAGCTAGGGGATGGGTTCATGGCGGAGGAAGGGCTCGTGGCGACGCTATGTCGACACGAGAGGACCTGAACAGTTGAAAGAAGATTAATTAATTCAAAGATGAGAATTTAAACGAATTACTTACCTTTTCTTGAGATCTTGGAGGTGAGGGGAGAGGCGGGAGGGTGACCGGGAGGGCGAGGTATTGGTTGAGGACCACATCAACGACGGTCGAATGATGTGCTTCGGGTATTGCCGTGGGCAACCTGATTACCTCTCGCGTTCAAGTTCAACTACGCAGTTGGCTCGCATGGGACTATCGTCGGTTTTCCCCTCCTCCGTTTCCGCTAACCCCGCTTTCCATTGTCCAGCGCCTAGAGGGGGACCTAGTGCGCCGGCTCCAACGGGGGCTGAAGGCGGCCAAACTACACGTTCCATTCCGCTACCCTCCCTGTCTCCCGTTCACCTCTTTCTAGCCATTCGGCCACCTCCGAGTCCTCAAATTTAAGATTTTCTTCCGACTCCCACGCATCATGGTAATTGTCCATGAACCTCTGCATCCTCGCTTCCCGACTCTCATGCGTCCCACCTATGCAGTCACGTGCATCCAAAAATAGGCGCCGGTGACAGTGTTAGCAACAAACTTGCTTATAAACTTAGTTACAAATCTTTGCTAGCTGCTTGGTCAGATCATATATACTTCCAGCAGCACATCCACTGTTCTTCTTCACTAACATCTAAGACAGCACGCTGCACAATGACTATCACCTCAGACGCCAGCGCTCCTCTAGTTGTCGTCGGCGGCTCTACCGGCCAGCAAGGTGGCAGTGTCATTCGCGCTCTCCAGGAATCAGACAAGGCCTACCGGATCCGTGGTCTCACCTGTGATATCTCTAAGCCTTCTGCGAAGGCATTCGCTGAGCAGGGAGTCGAGATGCTCTCTGTCAATCTTGTGGTCGAGAACAAGGCTCAGGTGGTCGAAGCATACGAGGGTGCCACTATTGTGTTTGTGAGCCCCTCATCAGCAATGCTTTATGTTGCGACGCTAACTGATTGAATGCACTCACCAGGCTATGACTAACTTCTGGGAACACCTTGATAAGGAAAAGGTTTGTGACAATGTGGTGGCTTGTATTTTGTCAGACGCAGCTGACTCTGTGAAATGTTGTCGTTCCACTTTACAGGAGCTTGCAGAAGGCAAGATGTTCATCGACGCGGCGCTCGAGGCCAAAATCCCACTCTTCATCTTCTCCTCGCTCGGTAGCATTGCAGAACATTCGGGCGGCAAGTACAAGAAGGTGCACCACTGTACGTGCAGTTCCATCTTCAGTAGCATTGTGTGCCTCCGACCATCTTTGCAGTCGAGAGCAAGGCGCAGATTGCCAGTTATGGTCACTCAAAGGCATCCCCCAGCTTTACATTTGTGGTTGTCCAAGCTGGGTTCTACTACACCAACCTCACCGGCAACCAGATCATCAGGCCGCAGGGCGACGGTACTTGGGCCGCTGCTCTTCCCTGCAAATCCGACGCCCTGGTACCAGGCATCGATATAGACGAATTTGGCCTCTGGGTTCGGGCTGTTATCGAGCATGAGGAGCTTCGAGATGGCCGCGAACTTTTGACATGCTGTAGTCAGGAGATGTCAATTGGCGAAATGGTCGATGAGATCGCGAAGTCCATTTGCATTCCAGCCCGTTTCATCACTGTGCTTTTGCTAAATCCCATTTCCCTGCAGAGACTGGCCTGAATATCGTCTTTAAGATTGTCAATAACGATGAGTTTCGTAAGGCCATGCCTGAAGGGACCCCGGAGCATGTCAAAGACGCCTTGGTAGAATGCTGGAACGCATTGTCAGAGATTGGCTGTACGTGCTATCGATATCCGTTTGAAGTGCATTATGCCGATGATCCACATCTGCCCTATACTATAAGTAAACTACAACCGTGAGGACGTCACTCGCCTCCTGCCTTACCTCAGCCGCAAGACGACAATGTTTGCAGACTGGGTCAAGAAGAAGGACATGCCAGAGTATGGGAAGAGAGGATTGACGTCCTAGATACTGGGCCCTAATTGATTGTAAACCGTAAAAGTATACACCTAGTCTTCCGGGACCGCCCTACTTGCATTAGCTATGCATCATATGTCGGACTCGACTCTACATCTCATCGAGCGAGACGAGACCGTTACACCACAGCGGACAATTAAATATCCAGTCGCGGTTCGAATTGTTCTGACTGGTGATTTGTCCCCTGTCCCATTCAGCAAAGAGCTAGAAATCACCACAGACCTCTAGTGACTTGACTTCAATTTCGACGCATACCTACACGCCTTCCTCTCGTCCTCCTCCCACCGAAATTCACCATCCAAAAATTCTCAGGTGGGGTGAATCACCGTGCGTGTCTCCTCAAAGAGAGGATGCAAGCGTTCTTTGGACCGATGTTCCGCTCGTACACCCAAACGCGCTCATCCTTCGATGAAAAGGCGAGTACAGCCTGGAATCCGTCGAGTTACTTCAACCAGCGCGCCCTCTTGTCCCATGAACGCTAGCTAGTGAACTGTGGGGGACTCTATACATCATAGTTGGACGAAGAGTCGGCAAAGCGCGTCATAAATGCGGGCGTTAGGAGTTTGAGGGCCGCTGGGGAGTCGGAGGACGTGTTGGACAAGAACATTTTGGAGCAGGACGAAGACGAGAACGCACGGAGAATATGGTCTGCCTTCACCTCATTGAATTTTACATGAGAAAAAGAAAAATTGCACCCGTTCCCTCCTCAATTTTCGCTGCCGGAGCGCCAAACAGCCCGTCCGGTGCAGCGGGGCTTACATAATTATTCTTGGCAGGCCATAAACGGGTATTCCTTGATGCTGTAACCCTGAAAGCCCTTCTGGCAAGTGTATCTTCTCTCAACCGCCTTTTATTCGCCGCTGTCAACCAGCCTTCCTTTCGTCTGTCTTCGCTCTCCTCGCATTCTCGCTCTCTCCAGCTCCTTAGCTGCCCCACATTCGTTTGCATTCGCCATTCGTTACCCCTCGACCTACGTTGTCCGTTGCTGCGCACCCGCCCGTAGCAAACTACCAGTCTAGAAGAAGCTCTTTTGCTATTTACGACACTACTTAGACGTTAAGTTATCATGGCTAGACAAGGTGTGTGGTCGCGGTGTGTTTGTGAAGGGAGGGAGTGCTGACTGGGGAACGACGACAGGTCCCCGTCTGCACCGGTTGCCACATCGCACCGACTACATCCTGATACCAGCTCCTCTCGGTGAGTTTCTCATCTTATTTTCGAGCCCAAGTCTTCACTAAACGCCACTACTCTTTATGCATACATAGACCTCTCTCTCCCAGAGATGACGGAAAAGTCGCCGCTCCCTGCGATCATCGTCACCCCGTCCTCGCCCTCCTCCTCACGCGACTTCTCCATCGCCTTCCTCGCCGAACCGCCCAAGCCCACCCTGCGCGAGCGCGTCCAGGCGTACAAGCACTTCAATTCGCCCAACCTCAGCTTGACCTTCCCTTCGATACCCCAGCCGTTCAACCCGAGCATGCGCACGCGCTCGATCCTCATCATCCTGCTCATCATCTTCGTGCTCGTGTGCCACCTCGTGACGCACCGCCTCGCTGCCCGGCGCCCGCACCTTGAATTTTCTGTCCAGACGGGTGCGACGAGTGGCCAGGTCGGAGAGCCGGCAATGTCGTGGTTCGACTTCCGGTCTTTGTTCGGTGCCGCCGCGGAGGTGCGTGCGCACCCTCCCCTGGAGACGTTCCATACCGAGCTCGTCGTGGATAAGTTACCTGGAGCTCGGTGATGGTGTGGCTTTCAAGCGGGGAAATGCGCTGGAGGGGAGAGTATTCGGGGATGTGTGGGCGATTGGGCGATGCGGAGCGTGGAGATCTCTGTTGTCCTGTTTGAGCGGTTGATGTTGTCTTGTTCTTCGTTGATTGCTTTCAGCTTTCTCGTCCTTGTGGTTTTTGTGGTTCTTTGTTGCATTTTGCTTATCCCTTCAGCTTTAAAGAGCTTTGTTTAACAGTTAATGTCAACTTAACCGTTGAGCGTGTTGTCCAATGTTGGTTCTGCATTGATCTTTCAAATTTCAGCACTGACTGGCCACTCGTCTTTTGAGTACGCACTCACGTAAACTGCTTGCATTGCACATCGCATATTGCACCATAGATGATGAATTGTTTTCGACAAATCACCCTACATCTTGACGGTCGCCCGACCCGCAATTTCTCCTTTTTTCAGGCCACTTGATCTGGACTTGGTCACAGCTTGCAGACTCATAAGTATGATTGAGCCACAGTGTGGCCTCAGGGAGGTTGTGGCATCCTTGGAATCCTCATAAAAGGCGCTCCGAAGATAACTCACTGGTTCCCTAAGACCACCGCGCAGTGCCCCGAAACGAAATGGTCGACGTCGTCCTGAACGACCACGGTATCAAACAGGGCTCTCCGGATCCGTATCTCCCCCAGGACGTCCTAGACACCGTCATCGACATCCTCGGCAATGAATGGCTCAGCTGCTCCCAGGACGAAGACGCGCGAGACGCGCTCTGCAAGTGTATGCTGGTATCGCGCGCATTCTTCGTTCGTGCCCGCAAGCACATCTTCGAACGGCTCTATCGAAGCTATGAACGGCGGGAGCCCGTCACAGCGCGCGACGTCGAGTTCTTCGGCGCCTCTCCCGGATCGCCGTCACCGAATGGACTCGGTGTGCTACCCCCCAAGGCATTTCTGCGCGAGGTGAATATCGTGTTCGATAATTCCAAGTCCCACGAGAAGAGGATCCGGAAGCGGCTGGCGCACTTGTACACCCTTCTGACTATGGAGGGCGTGGTATCGACGCAGCTGAAGACGTTCTTCTTCCAGGCTGTGGGCCAGTACCATCTCCGTGCTGCTCTCCTGGAGTTCATCCCCGCAATATGCTCGTCAACGTCCACCACGATGCTTCGCTTCTCGCACATAGATGATTTCCCGATGGCAGCTCTCTCACATTGCACTAACCTGCGTTGGCTCTCGCTCATCGACGTCTGGCCCAAGACGCGGGAGGACTTGACCAACACAGACCTAGTCGTGACATGGAACGAGGAGGGGTTTTGCAATCTCACGTCCCTCCAGATTGACTCAAGCGAGTTTTGTATGGCTGTCCTCCCGCAGGCGGCGTTTAAGAACGAGAAAGCGTTCACGCGCATCGAGGAGGTTGACTTCGTCGTGAATGGAGGCGTGAGCGGAGAGCCTATCCTCCAAGAGTTCGAAATTATCCGTCGAGCAAGGAACACATTGGAACATTTGTCCATTGATGTTATCCACTTTGGAGGTAAGTGTGCAAACTAATCCATGTTCTTCACAAGGCCTGCAGCCTCACTTATGTCTTCACATTTGTTACAGCTGACGAAACCGACGAGGATCTTGCTGAAAGTGGCACGTTCGATCTTTCATGTTTCCCAAGGCTGACGCTCCTAGAGTTTAAATGCTCTTTGAAGACGCATGAGCCCTTCACAAAGCGGTTCTCCTCCCTCTTTACCGGACTGCACTCCCCGAGCACAATCCACACCATGAACCTCACCATCTTCTTTGAAGGCCCGCCTTATGACGCAGACAAAGACCATCCGATCCCGCTCACGGCGGACTGGGCTGCTCTCGACGATATCCTAGTCAATCGGAGCGTCTTCCCTCGGTTGACGTTCTTGGACTTCCGGTTCATGATTCTGGTCATTTATCGCCCGCTCGAGGGAATGGACTACAGGCGGCTGGCGGTCCATCAGAGTAGGATGCATACGCTTGCTGCGATGAAGAGATTTGCGAAATCTGTATTCCCGAAGGTTGCGAGGTGCCCATTGATCAAGGATCAGCGAGCGTACGAGGTGCGCTGATTGGCAGGTTGTGGGATTTCTCAATGTCTCGATACATCCTTTCATATGTATCAAATTTCTTTCCCGAAGACCATTCGGTCGAAATAGCCGGTAGATGTTGAACGAAGAACTACAGAACTCATTGTTTGGATTTTGAAGAAAAGTATGGTGGACTTACCATTGTTGACTGAGTCAAGACTGAGTACAGAGAACCGTATAAGAACCTCCTCGGACGAAGGGCAGAGACGGGACCAATATGGCATGAAGAATAATCACAGGCTCAGCAGAGACTCAGACATGTACCTATTGTAGGCGATGAAAATTATAAATGACATTCGAGCCCTGAAAGTCCCTGATCCGCGGTATCCATCGGAGCTCATCAAGGCACCGTTGAACCAAGGGGGTCCAATTCTGAAGAATACGCTTCGACTGTAAAGGTAGCCCATGCCGCTTGCCCTGCGGCAAATTGAGGATTGCGTGCAAGGTGAAGTGAATTTGCGAATGCTTCCATTTATGTAACGAACTGGTCAGTAGTCTGCTCTGTCATATTTATATGGGTAGAGAGAGCTCACCAAAATGTCACTGCCATCCGTTATGGTGAGCTGCTCGAGCTCGTCCAGAATTTTCTTCAGAGGTGTCGCGTTGTACTCCTTGTCAGCGTTTATGGCCGTTGTGTCAAGAGGTAATTCTTGGTGTAGGCTCTGCCACCGGAGCTCCCGAAGAGTCGATGACTGGGACCCTTCAGACTCCTTCCATCCTTCGAGAGCCGCCCACTGTCTCCTTGCTTGCTTGTGCGTAGCGAATTGGATACACAGCTGCTCGAGGCGAGCAACCTCTTGGACGGAACCGGTTCCTGCTGAGCTGCGCGGCTGATCGCACCGAGAAGAAGCGAGCAGGTTAAGTGCCTCAACTGGAAAATCCTGGTCTTGAATGTTCTTCGAAATAACGAAAGTGCATGACTTGAGGCGGGGTAATAGAGTGACGTCGTCGTCAGTGTACATCATCTTCGTGATGTCTTTCGAGCTCGGAATGGAGATATCCAAAGATTCGATTGCTTTAGTAAGTGATAGGAGGGCGGCCACTCCTTCGAGGAGCTGTTCGCATCCGTGCAGGCGAAGGGTCGAGAGGGTCGAGAAAGCGGTAGGACCAGAAATTATCAGCTGTTTTGCCAAAGCACCTAAGACTTGTTGGTCCCAGCAGCCTTTCTTGAAACTTATATCGATTACCCTGATATGGGGCACTGGTAAGCGAGGGAGGAGGAAATCGGCGGGTCCCGACTGGAATTGGACCTTCAGAGATGTCAAGGACCGGAGGGTGACGGAGCGCAGTAATTGTGCGTCAGCACAAATGACGTCGAGTGTCTCGAGGAGTGGCGGTATGGTGGAAAGGACCTGGAGGCATAGCGTCGTGCTGCTGGTCTTGAACGATACAAGCTGATCTGTCGGCAAAAGAACCGATACACCATCCAACGATCCTGTCAAGCTGACGTGTCGCAATCGCGGTGCATCTGCAAACATGTCGATATTCACTGAGTCCGGGGTTTTTGCCGTGATATTGATGGCTAGGCGCTCGAGGAGGGGGAGCCGCCCTTCGACGTCGTTCAAAAAAAGCAACGAGGTAATCATCGCGCTTATAGCAACTTCTCCCCACCTCTCAGCCTGCTGAGCAACTACGTCGAAGGGAGTGGTATCAATGTCGTGAGCAATCGGCAAAGGAATGCTGAGCCTGAACCGGAGTGGTGCATTATCAGACCGCGATAGGTATTCCAAGATCCCGGTTCTTTGTCGCATTGCTTTAGTTGCATTTAAGCTCCCTGCGTTGGGGAGTCGTATAATTGGCAAGGTCGCCCAGAGTTGGGGCGACTCGAGCGCGCAGGCGCGCCAAGAGCGGCACACTCGGGATAGAACCGCAGCTGGAACCAGGTCTCCTTCTGTGGCATGCACGAGGTCGTATACAGACGCCACCAAGAAGAATATGTTGGTCCACATTTCTTGGGGGAGTTTGCATCTTCGTATGGGTGACAGCACGGCCTGGTGGCGGCGAATGAAGGAGGCAAGCCCCCTTCTGTTGTCGTTCTCTGCAGTGCCGACTTGCTCCAACAACGATTGCGCCGTTTCAATAGCTTCCTGAACGATGAGTATGTCTTCATCGGGAGGCGCGTAGTTCGTGTCGAGGAGATGAGGGACGGGCGATTCTGGGATCTGGGTCTTTGTCATCATTGACTAGATCTGTAGCTCTTGAGACTGAGCATTTACCGCCCAGAAGTCAGATAGACCTAGTTGTTCACCTTGTGGTAAGAAACACAGAAGTAATATAGAGTTTAGATCAAGCTTGGAGAGTGTCTGCAAGACAAGAAGGACAAGAGTAAGCCGTTGTGAAGTTCAAGCCCATTGTTGGGCGCTTATCTGATCTTCGTGGGAGCTGGCACATGACGCTGATCAGGGGCTTCAGAATCAGTTTGAAGCTGGCTGCTGAGCGCTGAGCACTGAAGTTCATCGCATCAGCCTCGAATTTGTGCAGGAGGAACGAAGGCTAATCCGACCCCTTCCGAACTCATACGGCAGGTTCAAGAAAGCAGACCAGATGCTTGACACCGGCCATTATATTTTCAATCTAACAACATCGAATATCGAAGAAAGGGAGATCAAAACAAGAAGAGGCCATTTTGTTATAGGGACCGAGAACCAGCCAGCTAGGTGCGAGTTGAGTCGCAGTGAAGCAGTGTTTCGGAGGAACGGGTAAAATGGGAGGGGGGGAAAGAAGGGCGAGGGCGAGGGAGGAAGGGCGAGGGAGGAAGAAGGAAGGGCGAGAGGAAGGAAAGAAAGGTAAAGTAAGAGGAGGCGAGCACGGACAATTGTTAATGACCTGGCACTGGCGGGCCTAGCGCGTACAGGACATCCCCGAACGTCAGATGAAAGGTGGGAAGAGGAGTGTAGGGTATCATAATCGTGAATAAAGGTAACAATGGGCGGTTGCAGAACTGAAAGAATAAGGATAGGAGGGCACATTATAGTGAATGAAGGTAAGGTGTGTGTGTATGTCTGTGCGCGTTCGAGCATCCATGGAATGAGATGATATAGTGTCGTAAGGTCATGAAAAGCGATGGCGGTGGTAATACAAACACTGCAGAACGGAGGGACGGATAGGGTGTACAGGAATGCAAGGGGAAGCTTTTGGTTCTGCGAGTTGAAGTGCAGATGGCTGGAGTCGTGATTTTGTAATAGAGATACAATCAATACGATGAGGGCACGAGTTGGAAAACGATTTAGACACAGATAAACAGAAAGGAGAGAGAATACCGAAGAGTAGCGTGATTTCAATGAGCTTAGATATTGGTGTCGGTCTTTAAAAATGTCGCTCGCATTTGGAATCAAACAACGTCCCAAAGCTCTTCTAAGGCACAGCAAAACTGGAGAAAGAACATCGTCATAAGTTTGGAAGATTAAGCCCTTGAGACTCACCTTCCCACAAGCAACGCTAGCGCTGAGGGGATAGTCGCTGATGCTAATCTTTTCGTCGACATACGCATCGGCAAAGTCGTCCTTCCCACGAGCCATGGCGCCCACGAAAACGGCGACGTTGTGGGTCGTGGGCAAGGTTGGGAGGTATCGCGAAAGACGCTGGGTTGGAGCGTCACCCGACAGGGCTGTTTCACCGAGTAATGAGTGGAATGACTCGGGACAAAGGAAGAGAAGGGCGCACTGAGCTTGATCGTGTTCGGCGGGAGATGGTCAATGATAGGGTTCTTGATGACCTTGAGGAGCTTTTCAGGGCCGTTCACACCTCGAATCGAGAGCTTGTGCAGGAGCTGCACCATGAGGCCGCTGAATCGCTTGAACGTGCGTGGAATGCGAACATGAGGGTTGACCTCGATGAGCACGCCGCGCGCGGTGTGAATGTAGACTTGCAGAAGACCGGCTTTGTTCAGCGGGGAGTCCAGCAAGGTGAGAAGGCACTGGGGAAATTTTTCTCAACGACGAGCCCTCATCAAACAAAAAACCGACCATCAAAGGCGAAAAGACAGAAAAAACCGCGAAAAGAGCAGAAAAAGAAGGAAAACTCACCTGATGGGTGATATCGGGCCTTGCATCTGCGATATCCCTGCCCGTTTTCGCCAAAATGCCCTGGTGATCATCGCAATTCAACAAGGTGTATTTGGCGTCTCCGCTGCCATCTTTGCCTCTTCCCTTGCCAGATAATCCACCTGAGACCTTGTATGCCTCCAAGCAGGCTTGCTCGAGGATGACATAGAGCCGGCGAGACGAGGCAGCTGCAGGACCGCGAGGAACGTGTGCCTGTATGGGGAGCATGGAGGGGTTGGCGACCGGTTGGATGGGTGCATGGGGGTTGGCAGAGCCGGCTGTTGAAGCCATTTTTCGTGCCTTTGACGAGGGAAGCGGGCGAGTGGGTCGCTCGGCGGGGTAGGTGGTGGTGGTAAGAGGCGAAGAGTGATCGACTTGGTTATGCGTATTTTTCAGGATCGTGATGGGCGTCCCCGACGGATGCCCTGCCCTCCCCTTCGCACCGTCGTCGACCTCCATACCCGGCTCGGCTGCGTCGCCGTTCTCTTTCTCCTCCTCGTCCTCCCTCTCTGACTCGTCGTGGGTGGGACTGTGTTGACGTCTCCTTTGCGCGGGCCGCTCGACGGGCGAGGACTTGGGGCGAGGTATTATATCGTCCCCACTTCCGAATGTCGTGGGCGAAGGCGCTACGATGCCATCGCGGTTCAAGGAGCCCGAGTGTCTTCTGCGCCTCGCTGGTACTGTTGTACGTTCCATGCTCGTTGGGGTGGGTTAGAAGGCTGAACTTTGAAGGAATGTGAACCAGAACACGTCGAAAATTAGGCGCAAAAATATAAAAAGCCAAACTGAGTGGTGAGTAGTCGGTAACTGTCGTGTGCAAATCCAAAGTTACAAGGCCTCGCAGGTTTTAAGTATCAGCGGGAGTGGTACCATTTAAGGGGTGTGTGAACGACCTTCCATATTCGGACGATCAGGAGTGGCTGGCCATCTCAAGTTCTTCCTCATGAATTTTTTTTCATAGCCAGGAGCGACGGCACCAATGGCGTCGCTAAATTTCTGCGTCACCCACTTGCCGTGGCCCTGCTGTGCCCTTCGGCGTTTTTCATATCTAACCCCCCAAGCTAACTATCTCAGTGAACGCAAGAACACATGTAGAAGGCTCAGGCTCATTGTTGAAGTGCAACAGACTAAAAGTTGCATCAGTAGCCCAATCGAAGGCTAAAACCTGGGATATAAAGGGAAACATAGCCCCGAATCAAGGTAAAATGTCCCTATTTCCGCGAAGCTTCTATCCTTAGCGGAAGTGTGAGTTCCCGAAGCGGTCCGATGGTAATTGGGACGGCAAGGAGAAAATGAGGCTCTACCGTAGCGCTAAGCGGCACACAGGGCAGGTTATAAGTTGCTTCCAGTGATTACGCGCAGATAAATCTGACTAAATTGTATCTTTTTTTCTCTATGATTGCGGTCTACTATAGTCAAGGACGTACCCTTGCTTCCTGTTCAATCTTCGCATCTAGGCAGCACCCTGATGAAGATAAGCATCTTCGAACGCGGCTTCATTCCCATTGTTCTTTATCCAAATTCCCCATCCCGCATCTCGCGATGAAAAAATTGACGTACATAAACACGTATTTACAACATGTCCCAGACACTTCTGTCCACCCACATGTGTCGATCATGATCTCCGACCTCAGCCAGGTCTCTCCGTAGACGTACAGAGTTCAAAAATAGGCACGCAACTGGCTTCTGTTTCTGTCAAGTGTACTTCATTTCGGATCGATGCGTTTCTGATTCTTCAGAGATCGGCTTTAGGGCCAGGGTTGCCGGTGAGGATGATCCTTCAAGCCCAGCGAGAAGGAAGCCTTGCAAGGCTTCGAGCTATTTATTGCATCAGAAAAGTTTCGATTCTCAACTACGGAGTCAAGTTATATTGTATTGGGAGGTGGATGATGGATGATGTGCGCCACACAATTGATGCGTAGGCTAAATATGCGTCGGGCTTGCATGGCAATATGGCCGAGTGGTCTAAGGCGCTAGAATCAGGCTCATATGTGAGTCATCTAGTCCGAAAGGGCGCGAGTTCGAATCTCGCTGTTGTCAATTCTTTTTGCTTGGGCCTTAGATAGATAGATCGATCGATCAATTCCGGGTGCGCAGCCTCTGAGTCGTACTCCTCACTAACCCCTTCGAATTCTTCACCACTCTTGCTACTTAGAATTTCTGTCCGCACTGTTCGGACAGGTCATTGAATACCGCAACAAGCCGCTGGCAAGAGAATGGAGGACAATGTGATAGGCGATTCCACCTTAGTTCAGTGGACTGAAGAGGATAGCCCAATTCAACGTATTCCTGCTGAACTTTTGCAGAAGATATTTCTGGACGCCCATTATATGCCATATTCTCCGAATATTGATGGGGCAGGTGAAGTAGACCTCAAAGTACCCTGGACGATTGCTCAAGTATGCGGCACATGGAGGAATTTTGCCCTTTTTATGCCAGAGCTGACGCCTTCCGTGGATCATCGTGGACGTTCCAGGTCTTCCAGTCAAGACCAACAAGGTCGAAGCGCTCGAAGCCCAACTTTCGCGTTCAGGCATCCTTCCAATCATATTTTCTTTCCGAATGAGGACCCGCCTAATTATCGGGGCGATCCACCCCACGACCCTCTTATCGACGTGATCGTAAATCAGGCGTAAAGGTGGCAAGAGGTGAAAATCACTGGGGGCATTCAAACTGCCATCCTTGCCCTAATCCACGCGAAAGGGAGGCTCCCCCTACTCGAAACCCTGGTTTTCCATTCAGACGAGACGTACATCCCGGATCAATTGATCAAGTGGTTTTTGACGTGTTCGAAAATGCACCTCTCCTCCGTCATGCGACGTTCGAGGGATTATTCTTCGGACGTGTCATGCTGCCGTCCACGCAGCTGGTTTCTCTCAAGTGCAAAGCGCTATGCGCAACAGTGAAGCAAATATTGACCAATGCTTTATCGTTGGAATATCTCGAGATCACTGAACAAGCCAGTTACCACCCCGATATGCAGACCGCCACAACGCCGCCATCGCTTACAGTGCTCAAAATGCAATATTCGTCTTCAAACGTTTTTGAACGCTTGACCGCTCCTGACCTGAAAGTTCTGGACATCTGGCAGACCCAATCGCACAGCCGCCCACCTATTTCCCTCAATCTGACTAATTTCCTCGACAGGCATCCGTGCCTCACATCACTTCGTTTGCGTGTCCTCGCAACGGCACTGGGCAGTCTCTCTGGTTTGCTGAAACTGACGCCTTTGTTGGACAACCTGGAAGTCGCCCTTCCCCCGAAGCAAGACATCGAAGCACTCGTATACGGAATTGACAACAACCCCCTCGTCCCTTCTTTGAAGCTGTGCACGTTCTACCTTTTTAGCCGCGCGGCATTTTATACCGTCGACGCCATCTCGGCGCCGGCTCTCAATCTCCTCGGTGCAACTCGATGCGGACAGACTCGGCCTTTGCACGTTAACCGATTGGAAAGCCTCAACATCGACCTCATACAACACGCATCCGCATCTCATCAATTATCCCCGCTGCTGAGGCGGCTCGAGGGATGGAATACTTCAAGCACGAGCGTTGATTTGAATCGATTGAAGATGGACCTGTCGCGTCAAATACCCGGTCTCCTGACAGGATCCAGGCTGGAAGCTGCCCCTGATGATGAAGAACTGGAAAGGACGTTTGACGCTCTTGGGAATGTGGAGGTGACAGCGCCGGATATACATGTGAGAATTTGATGCTTCAGGTACTCGTGCTGAATGTTTTAATGACACAGGTCTCATCGATCCATTCTACTCTCAAATATGTGTCTATGGCGGATGAATTTGCTTATTCCAAACGCGCGAGTGCTATTCTGGAGAAATGGAGACCATCTCTAGAGGATAATATCTCCGATCGACGGTGGATGATCCAAGCATCAAGCGCGGTTTACATCCCCATAGATGATGGTAGGCTAATCAGTTGAAGTGAAAGGTGCATTGGATGCTGACATCCGTAGCACGTCGTTCGTGTGCAGGTTTCCGTGATGAAATTATTTTCTCGTGAATTATATCAAGTGAAATGCATAAATAATCGGCATAAAGTAGAAGTGATCGTTCAAGAGATTTGCTAGTGAGCTGTAAACCGGGCCGATGCTGCAAAGATGGGCCACAATCTCCCAATTTGGTTTGCTTTTTCTCTCCCACACACGAAGCGAAGTTTAAGCCGCCATTTTCTACAGTAAATTTAGAGTAATTTTTTTTACTGACGAACAATCGTGGTTGTTGCTGATAGTCACCACTTACTCAGTGAACACACAGTTTGTCTATTACTAGTAGTCCCTGCGTAAGTAGCAATGAAACGAAGCTGTAAGCACAAAGTCTGTGCTATTTGAAGGATACCTTCGGTTACACGACATGAAGACCAAACGACCTGTATTATGAGTATGTCGCCTATTCGACATAATGATAATCGCGACCGAACGCAACTCGTAGAATTAGGGCCCGCTCGAATACCTCACAGCGACGTTCAGTGCCGGCATCCGAGGTCAAGAGGCTGCTATTCATTTTGGTGGATTTGCATTACGTTTTGTCGCAGTATTTTAGGCTTTGCAATGGCACGACGGTGAGCTCGAGGTTTGAGCACTCACAACCGTCTATTGGTCTAGTACCACGAGGCGAATGGAGTGCCTTCAATACCTTATCAGCCGGGCAATCAAGTGTTCGAGTACTTTTATGTTGAGAATTCCGAAAATCATATCACTATGGCTGGAGTCTGCGAAGTCCGGGAAAGGGACTTGGGTTAAGGACATGTTCAACCTGTTGCGCATGTTTGTCCTTACTCATGCTGACTAATCCATTTCGGACAAGTTCAATTCGGCCAACTTGGTTTTCGTTGCTCGAACAAAAAACCATCATGGCTGGCCAGCTCTCGAGTCGACAGCAACTAGATCTGTACGCGTTAACTGCTGTATTTGTGCCAGCAATGCCTAACGTTGATTAAACCAGGCACAAATCGATGCTTGATTACCTTTACAATGCAGGATTTATGAGAACGTACAACGAGCTTCGTGCGGAAGCACCTGAGGTGGTGGGTTGATTCCGTCGTTTTCAGTGGTGCAGTGTAGATTGGTATCAGGGCGAATTTGTACCAGATCCTACATCCCCGAGTAGCGGCCTTCTGGTAAAGAAATGGACTAGCATTATCCGGATGCAACGCAAGGTGAGTGACAATTTTGGGCGGTGTATGACGCGTGGCTGAAGTCCTCGTTCGCCAGGTAATGGATCTCGAGGCACGACTGGCACAAGCACACGAAGACCTGGCCAATGCAGGCCCTGCGTCGTCAGAAGGCTCTAAACGTGTCAACAAAGAATGGATACCCTCAGCAACACCTAAACTGACATTACCGGGCCATCGAGACAAAATAAACGCGATCAGCTTCCATCCTCAGTACTCCGTACTAGCCTCTGCTTCGGTCGATGCCACGGTGAAGATTTGGGATTGGGAGACTGGGGAGTGCGAGCGTACGTTGAAGAGCCACACAAAGGCTGTATCGGATTGTCAATTCGATTCAACGGGGAAAGTATTAGGTACGTCCGACACAGCTAGAACCGGAATCCTGGTCTGACAACGGTGTTCTAGCTACTTGCTCTGACGACCTGTTCATCAAACTTTGGAATGTGCCCGACGATTACAAGAATTTTGCGACACTACGCGGTCACGAACATTCAATCTCAAGCGTGTTCTTCCTTCCAGGAGACAATCAACTGATATCGGCGAGCAGAGATAACACGGTTCGAGTTTGGGATGTGCAGACCAGGTATGTCGTGTCCAATTGTACACCTGGATGTTGCTCAACCCCTTCCGAACAGTCATTGTGTGAAGGTGCTGAAACCTCATACGGAGTGGATACGTTCTGCGTTGCCCAGTGCGGACGGACGGTTGATTCTGACATGCTCAGACGATCACGTACGCCCCGATCTCAAACGTCCTCCAGTCGCCCCAAACTCACGACCATTAGACCGCCCGAATTACGGACCTCGAGTCGGGTGCCATGAAGACAGAGATGCGAGGGCACGATAATCGAATCGAATGTGCGGTGTTCGTGCCCCAAGCCTCGATTCCAGCCGTCCGAGAATTGGTCGCCGTGGTAATTGGCATCTCCCTTATCACCTGATTCACTCCACTCACCATTTCCCCCCTAAACCAAGCCCGCGACCGTACAATCTTCGAAAGTCGACCGGCTAGGGATTTCGTTCGTGTTGACCGGGTCGAGAGACAAGACAATCAAGCTATGGGATGCGCTTCGAGGGCAGTGTTTGTGGACTTTCGTGGGTACTTTGCCTCTTTTCGTGGCACCTTCTGACACATTTTCCTAGGTTGGACACGACGGTTGGGTTCAAGAGCTGGCCTTCCACCCATGCGGAAAGTTCCTCCTATCAGCAGCTGATGACCACACGATGCGGGTGTGGGATCTAAAGACAGGTAGATGCCTGAAAAAGAGTCAGTGCAGCATTCTGCTGCGTCGAACCATATCTGACATCGTTATCTACCAGTTGAGGCACACTCTCCATTTGTCCAGTGCGTCTCCTGGGGACCGACACCCGTCGTGGAAGGAAGCGATGAGAGTGATCGTATCGTGAATGTGGTGGCAACTGGTGGTACTGACAAGGTGCGTAATGGTTCCAGTCAACGCGCGAAGAGTCTCATAAACTTCTACCTCAGCTCATCAAGATTTGGCGACCTTAGAGTCTAGACACCCTTTTCCCCCTTCCCTTGATTTCCTCTCCAGTATCTTATTCAGTACACCAACTCTGTTCCGACTATCGTCAAGGCGGACGCACCCATAATTGCGATTAAACCACTAGAAGAGCGCAGGGCGAACCTATGCTCCTTGACTCCCCTAATCACATTGGCGTCATTTCCACGCCTTCCTCAACCCACCATCACACCACTGGGCCCTTAGCTTTAGCCCTCGTCCAGACCTGCACGTCCTTCCCTATATCGGATCACTCTCCGCGAGGCACTTATCACGCCGTTCGTCCACACATTCGTTAAATCATTCGCTTTCCTGCTCGTCCATCCAACCTTACATTATCCATACCCTAGGAATACCATCGCTCCAACCCCTTTTTCGGCTGCTCCAACCCTCCATCGCCCCGCCTTCGCTCTGTGTATTTATACTTGTACTACGACCGGCATAATTTACATAGTTTACGGATGCTCAATGGGAATGCATGCACTTTCAAACTTTTGCGCCACCCGCTTTTCAAGACTTTCGCCGCTCGCGCGTTATGTTGCCTGGAGGACGGATAGGAAGGCACCTAGGCAAGCCTCACCTTCACTGGTCGATTCACTTTGTAGCTGATCGTTCCGATGTGTACAGTTTTCACTGAAGGAAGATGTGCGACGTGCTGTGGCATGTCTTCCTCAAGGACCTCGAACGCCCCAAGCGTGCTCGTGATGGTCCTCCCAGTTCAAAACCTCATCACACGGTCCAAGTCGGACCAATTCAGCATCGACGTGATATGGGTGCGGCCTGCTCCAAATCAGCTCTTACAAGTGTTGTTCGTCGAGAGCCATGATGGGGGGCCCATCTCTGGTACAAGCCCTCGTGTTTTCCGTCGGAGTATCGGCTTCTTATCTTCGGAAGAGTCCGTCCGAAACCCTCAGCTGGTCTGGAACCGCCGGAGGGTAAAACTAGGATTTCTCTTCGGCGACGTTATATCGGACTCTGACCGCCACCACCTGGTCAAATCGAATCGTATGTATTACACTTTATCTCCTTTACCCCTGTGGCAGCGTCCCTCATTCTCACGTTCCCGCTTTGCAGCTTTTTATTTTATTTGCAAGATGTGTTTCTACCCCCTGCAGTCTTTGAATCAACCCGGCTTTTCAAAGTACTGATCCAGCATGTATAAATTCTACTGATCCAACCTGGGTTTTAGATATTAAAACTACTGATTCAACCATTTTGATACTACTGAATCAACCTGGGATAATTGTCCTGATCTAACCTGGATTTAAGAAGTTCTGATCCAACCCCCAGATTAAACTACAATTTCAGCATTTCTTATGTACTGATCCAACCCAGATTTTTGGTTTATAAAACTACTGATCCAACCTGGATTTTTGGTATATGAAACTACTGATCCAACCTGGACTTTGGGTTATGAAAGTGCTGATCCAACCTGGATTTTTGGTATATGAAAGTGCTGATCCAACCTGGACTTTGGGTTATGAAAGTGCTGATCCAACCCAGGTTTTTTAATTACTATATTTAGAACAGACCTATTGATTGGCTGATCAGATTAGATGGGCCAGGACATCTCTCCCATTTACTACCACCATCTTCTTCTATACTGCACACAACATCCTGCTATGCCTCCAAAAGCTTCATCTCTGTGCTATGCTACTGTAACTGAAGAGAAAGATGGTTCTCTTTCTTGCACCTGTTCTCCATTTGATCAGACAGGAAAGGCCTGCTATCACATCTTGGCAGTCAGACTGCAGATTGATCATGGATCAGTAAAGGACTATATTGGTCTGCTATATTCTTTTTATTTCTCTATTAATGTGACTTATGATCCTTTAGAGCTTGAAACTAGTCAGAAACTTCGTGGACCAGCTGCAAAGGGCCAGACACGAAATCCTATCAAGGAAAAGACAGGCCGGCGTCATCAAGCTGCTTCTGATGCAACAGTTACTAGAGATCTGGAGAAGATCTTTTTGCGTTTGGAGGAGGAAGAGGAGGACTCTGATTCTAAGTCTTTGGCTGAAAGTCCAATTTCTGATATCAAAACCAAACAGGCCAATAAAGCTCTGGTGTCTCAGCATCCTCAAACTCCTCAAAAAGGTGTGTTTATTACTTGTTTCAAAATCAATGCTTTACTTATGCAATTTTAGGCCGAGGTGTAACAGCAGGCAGACGTCCTGCTGTCACACCACTTCATCCAAATCGCACACCTGTTAAGTTCAGTCAGAAAACAGGACCTAAGCCCAAGCCACACAATTCTCTTCTGCCCTCTCTTCCAAACTCTCCCATCAAGCCAGTCAACTTTTCCCCCAAAAAATTACGAATCAGAGAATTTCTTCCAACAGCTAATGAAGTACGTGCTAAGCTAAGATACCTTTTTATAACTTACTATTTAATTAGGAGGCAGATCTTCTTGATGAGCAGAAGCTTAGTGATCTAGACTTCAGTCGGTGGAACAATTCCACATATATGCTCCGCCAGGATGAAATCTCTCTTTTTGTGGACTTGCTCAACTCAATCAATACTGGAATCTTGGGGTCAACATTGGTTATTCCTGATACATATGCCTTTCCTGCACAACAACTTGCTAAACTTGACTGGACTCTGACTGACTCTATCCCTGTTGGGCTTTCTGGTGATGTATACACTTTTTATTCATTTTTTTAAATGTTACTGAATGTCAAATATCCAGAATATAATTGCGGAGGACTCTCTGATTGGCCGCTCTTGGACAATGAGTCGGTCTATCAATCTTCAACATTGTCTGATTTTCAACCACTACAACAACCACTGGCTGGTGTTTAAGAAAACCTATCATGATCTGCAAGATAGTCTTTCTTGCTATGAGCCATTCAAATCTCATGGACGCCGATTTGATATTGGTGATCTTGCTTTCTTTGCCCAATTTTTTAATCCACGACGTGGTGATCATATGGTACGACTTATCTTTCTCATTAACAATTTTATTAACATCAATTACTATAGCCTGAAAGGAAGATTGTCAAGACATATACTCCAATTGCACTGGATTTGCAAAAAGACAATAGACAATTACCTTTGCTCTTCTTCAAATATTTGATATTGATCCCTGTGCTACCTCCAACAAGAAGGCTCTGCAAAAAATAGGTGTAGATGGTCTCAAGACATATTGGAAGAATATCTGGACTAGCTACATCACCGATCCTATTGGGCTTCGAGCTTCCGTTTTGGAAGATTTGGAAAATACCTCTCCATTCTGGAGTAAACCAATTTGCTTCAAAATATCGGATTATATCGTTGGCTTGAGTAGTGGATCCAACACAGAGTCTTCGAACAGACTCCTTGAACTCTGCAACCTTAAGATCCCATCTCTCATCAAAGCGGCAGCGCTGAAGAGTGCGTACAGCTCTAAGCAGCAAATGCTTCCGCTCAAGAGAAAGACGTGGACGTGGTTGAGGTTCAAAGGAATCACTGACTTCCTTGTCCCAGCGCAAGATAGCTTGCATTACATGGAACTGACAAATGCGGATGCGCATCCAAGGAAATACTAGCCAAAGTTTTTAGAAAATCATAAAACACAGAAATATGATTAAATACCAATGTAGATGGCTGATCGAGCTGCCCGACACTTATCAATCATGAAGAAAAGTGGG